ACATAGAAACCAAGGTACGATAAATTCAACGTAATCAACCAGTAATGTAACTGCCTATTAGTTCTGAAACCAACATTCTTGAGCAGATCACACAATTTTATAGCTTTTCATTAGCAATGTCTAGTATGCAATAAAACATTACTAGACATGCATGCATAATCAAATAACAAACTAGAAAATATGACCCAAGGTCAACAGAAAAAAATGATCAATAGAAATAGACCATAATAGACAGGCATTAGATTAGAAGAAAATGATTGTAAAGCATTGTCACAATATGATGATAGACTTTACACACAGTTGTAATGAATGAAAGTATTGAAAATATCAGAGAGAAATGAAAATATAAAGGAAAGCAAGTGGAAATTATAGAACAGAAAAATAAAATAATTAAATGAAAAACTTCTTGGCAGTTCTGTTTCTGGCCATGAAGAAATAACAGGCATAAGATGTACAATACTCCTATCACAAATAATTAAAATAATAGGCAAAATATGTAGGGAAAATAAGGGCAAAATGTGATGCTTGAGATAAAAGAATCAACCATGAGGAACTTTGCTATTTTCTTAGCTTTGTACTTGGAGAATATTATCAAAATAGGATATAGTGAAGACAAGTTAAATGTAACTGACGAACACCTGTGAATTAAAAAGAATGATGTGCCCAGGAAGGGTGAAGGATTTAATATCGTAAATGCAACAAAATACTTTTCTTATTTTAAGTTTATTAGAAAAATAATTGACTCTTCAAAGTAGATTGTATATTGACATAAAGTAAAAAGGTATAACTTGCAAATCACTAAGAGAGGAAAGACATGGATCCGTACTCACAAATTCTAGAGTAACCATTATGAAAAAAAGAAGATGTACCTAGTAATCCATCAGTGGAGGTAAAATGTAAAACTCAAAGTTCCTTATTGCATATCCCCCCCAAAGAAAGCATTAAGAAAATAGAACTAAAGCGAAAAAGTAAATAAGAAAATGCTGATTCTAAGCCCCCAAACACCAATAATAACATTAATAATAGCAACCTGAATACAAAAAATTAAAATGCAAAAAATGGTCAAATTGTATAATCATCAAAACAAGAAAATATGCAATTTACATAATTGAAATGCATATTATATACAGAGAAACAGAGGTTAAAACAGAAGTTGGAATAAAAACATACCATATATAT